AAAGGGAGGGTTATCGTGAATTAGCGCAGAAGAATATTTTTCGCTATTGCTTTTGGCCAACGCCGTCTCTCGATAGTCTTTTCGCTGCCCAGACTAGTCATTTTCCTCTCCCCTCTCGTGGTCGTTTGTCTTATTCCCGATCCGTGACTGTGTTTCTTAAATTCTTAGGAAATGACGCAAAACGTTATTAGGTTGCCCACTGGGTTCTGTTCAAGTAAGAGGTGAAAAGATAAAAAGGAAAAAAGTTACAAATTCCATATTTTCAAGCATTGTTAATGGACCTGTTAATGTTTTCAAACGTTGTACCCCTGTTCAGATTCCAAACACAGACTTGAAACTTGATAATGCGGTTTTTTTCAATGTAAACAGTTGTTGTTTTCACTGTTCTTGTTGGTTAGTAACGACCTGAAAAACAAAAGTTTTTACCTGTTACGAAAAACTCAGCTACTGTACCCCGCATATGACAAAGTAATACTCAAAAGGAAGACATAAACAGGTAACAGATAAATGAATACTTAATGATCACTCTCCAATACAAGCCTCACTGCATTTCGCCCAGGCAGCGACTAGGTGACAAAGTTGCTGTTCATCACTGACAGTGCAAAAATCAAAGTAGCACTTTGCTTGTTTTATAGGAAATACGCAAACAAAACCAATAGGAGAGGAAAATGCCGACTAAATTTTTGCTCTTAAAAAGTGCACAAATCATTGAATTCACTTATCCAAATTTTTTTGAAAAGTGAAAAAATGTGTTTAAGCTGTGAAGAGTGTTTCCATTGAGTGTATAGGCAAATTTACGATTGTTTAACAAACTTTTAAGGACCAAACATACTGAATTTTACTAGCTGCTTTCCGTGATTCTCACAAGCAACTAAGGACCGTTAAGCCACTGTAAAATATGCGCGATTACTGTAGAAGCAGTTTTTTTTTTTGGTCTCACATATCTTCAGAGCTCGTAATCTTCAATTCCAAAATAAAAGACACCATTAATTTGTAAAATTTATAGAACAAAAAACCCTGCACGGAAGGTTTTTTTCTTTAATTCAGAAATATTTTTTAAATAATTTTCAAAGCTTTGTTCTTGTTATATTCCTTTAACTATTTGCAATAACCGAATAATACAGTAAGCGTTCAAAAGGAGAAGAATTCAATCCAACTAAGAAACTGAATATCTTAAAATTTTAATAATTTTCAGCTGAATCACTAGTCTCTGAAGGCACTTATGTGAAGCAGCAACCTGCCGATTTCGACAGCGAATTATTCGTCGTCGAGTTACATCTCTTCGATGAGGTGTAACTTGACGGGGAACGCACCTTCCCAGTCTTCCCTCAGCTTTCTGTATACTGGCCTAAACTACAACAATCAGCAAAGTTCGGGAAATTCTGAGAAATCAAGCCGAAAAAGTGCTAACTGACGTAGAACGGCCCATAAGCACAAAATCCAGTCAAAATCTTACTTTTCACTGTTTCTAAATTTTGCATCTATATATAATAATCTGGCACGTAAAAGTAGCAGTAACTATT